TAGAGAAAAGAGTCAAAGGTAATTCGTGGGCTTTTGGCTTGAATAGATAACAGTGCTGTTTACACTGAGATGGGAAAGCCAGGAGTAGGAGGGGGAAGGATCTGGTTTTGACCATACTGAGATATATCTTAGGTACCCAAATGGCATTGTGATTTTATTTTTAACTGAACTTTGCTTTAGCTATAGGCAGATAAATTTAATACTGACAATGATATAATTAAAACTCATAACATTTACCTATTGATGCTATGTCTTCCTTTATATTCCTCTGAACTTCATTATCTGATCAAGAAATTTTAAGGCAAGGAACTTGCATTAATTTTTGTTTTTGTTTTTTTAATTTAATTTTATTTTGTCAACATCCAATGTGGTTGCTTATTGTGGCCCACTACCGAAACCTCCCTCCCTCTCCCCTCCCTCCCTCCCTCTCCCTCCTCCCACTCCCTCCCTCCCTCTCTCTCTTCCCCCCACTACATCATATCTGTTCATTTGTCTTAACAAGTTCAAGGAATTGTTGTGATTGTTGTGTCTTCTTCGCGCCACCCCCTCCCCTGCCAGAGTATATTTCTTACTCCAAAATATGGATTCAGTTATTTTCAACAAAAACTCCTCTGACCCTCCCCCTCCCCAGTGGAGGTTAAGCTCCCCTGGGTCTTCAGAGACTGTACAGCAGATGTGTTTACAACAGCACTGGTTTGAACTTGTGTGACCTTGGGAAAGTTACTTATCTCCCTCTGCATTCATCTTGCTGTCTGCAAAGTGGAGAAAATGCTGGAATACAATGCTACCCAATAGGGGTAGCATGATTATTAAATTAGCTTAACACACATGAAGCATTTAGGATGGTGAAAGACACCTAAAAAGCATTGTATACATTCTATTGTCTCATAAGGTACCAAGTTAAAGGATATCACCTTCGTTGTTTTATAGATATCTCGATTAAATGGACACTATTGAGTACCGTATCCACTCATCTGATGATGTTTTAACCCTCCACTTCCTGCTTTCAATTATGTAAAAAAAAAATGTTAGGGTAAAAGTGAAAAAGATGTGGTCCCTTGATCTTGGACTTCCCAGCCTCTAAAACTGTGAGCCAAATCATGTAACTGGGGGGCTACATTACAGATTGGTCATTTCTACCCTCTGATGCCTTTTTTTTTTTTTTTTTAGTAGTTATATGTTTTTAACTAGTTGTATGTGTATTGGGCTGAGTTAGGAATGTGGATTGGGTATGTGGGCGCTCTTGATACATTTAGGCCATTATTTTATCCCCATGAACATAGTTTTGCACGTTTCTTGTCATAAATCCTACTTCTAAGAGCATTCAAAATTTGGAAAGGAATTTATCCAGGGCTGATTGGTTAGCTTCGTCGGGAGAGTGTGGTGCTGGGAACACCAAGGTTACAGTTTGGATCCTGGTACCAGCCAGCCACAAGAAAAAAGAAGAAAGAAATGTATCTAGTATTGTCACACGCTCTATGAATTAGACCTACATGTTCTGTTTGACAAAGGACAGGGTGGGGGGTAAAAGGGAAGAAGAGTGATGCTGTAAACTAGTAATGGGGGTGGATGGGTTTTGGCTAATTTGGGCTAAAAACAAATGGGTTTTCTTATTTCTGGCCTCTGGTGGTGGTACCTATTGCTCTTGGGGAAGAGGTCCTCAACTCTTCGGCACCGGGGGAAGGAGAAGCTCTGTTGCTTATCTCGTAGACCCAGGAGCAAGGGCGTATCTTCCATGGAAAAGACAAGCTCAGCCCCCATTCTGCTGTAGTTTCTCAGCTGCGCCATGAGGCTCAGGGAGGCTATGCTGGTGTGGGAGGCCCAGCGAGCCAGGACGGCAGCTAGTCAGCACATCCCTGAATTTGTTCTTTCCAGTGGTACCCATTAGGCCATACGATCTCATGTATAGGAAGTATTGAAAGTTGCCATCTTGGCGGTTGTACTCATTCTCAAGGGTGGCTTTTTGGAAGGAGTGAGGCTATGAGAGACTTTGAAGGCCAGGGAGAATGTTTTTGAATGGGAAAGAGAAAGGTGTTCCAGAGGTCAGAGGCAGCAAACCAAAAACCATGGAGTCCAAAGTGAGGCGATGATATAGTGACCGTTGACGAGTTCATGAACTGCTGTGGTAAGCCAGTGACTCCTGAAGTTACACTTGGCCAGACAGACTTCGTTTGACTGTGGTCAGCAGAGGGAGGAGACGGTTGGCACCACTGTGTGTGGCTGGAATAATGAAGTCCTACCAAGCAGTGCTGCTCTAGAAAAAGTATAGGATCCGACAGGTCTCTGTCTGGTAATAATTTCCCCAGACATTCCTGTTGCTGCACATCAGTGGTCGTTCAACATCTGGTTACTTTACTATTGAATAAGTTTCATTTTAGTTTCCGACAGTGTATATTTCAGATTTTCTAAATGATTCACATTCTTTCTCCTTTTCAAGCGGCTTGAATGGGCAGGTTGCCTATTTCTAGGAGGATGATGGCTTTGTCCATATGGGATCTTAATGGTTCCATTGGACCTTCATGATGGATGAAGAAAGCAGGTGGCTTTTGTTTTATATGTGGAGGAGTATACTGTGACCCATGCCCACATATCTAGAGCTAAAAAGAACTACAGGGGTGAACCGAAAGTAAGATCCTGAAACAAATGACTTTTGAAGGTTTTGCTTTCATTTCTCTGAACAGCTAAATATCTGAGGGAAGTCAGCAAGTTTGCAGGAAGCATATGTTTGTGTCCTTGGAATGAAATAGGGAACCAAATGGAGGCTGAACCAAAGCAGACAGGCTGCCAGCAATCAGATGGCTTAGGGACATTTATTAGGTTTTTAAAAGGATGGATTTTTATAAAGGTTGAACCATTTTTTAAATATATTTAAAGAGTGTGCAGACCAATGTCTGTAGCAGTCAAGATCAAATTCACCCAATAATTCTGTTTTGGTTTCTTCTACCAAAGATCTTGTTTACATGTTTTAAGAAAATTTGAGATTCGATTCAACATGATGTTTTTAACATACCTATACATGTATATGTATATACAATACAAGTAATATACAGTTACCTGTCAACAATATTATGTGTCTGTCAGGTGGTAGTGAGCTGCTACCTGTTTCCATAACTATCTCATTTAATCCTAACAACAAACCTGAAAGTGTTAATAATTATCCCACTCTAGAGGCAAGGAAACAGATTTTTAGGCTGTAGGTGACTTCCATAAGTTACATGTGGCAGAACTGTGTTCAGAGTAGTTGAAGTCTCCTGGTGCCTGAGCCTTGTCTTCCTTTCATCTTTTTTTTTAATTAGTAGCTGTGCGGAAGTAAAAGGAAGCCAGACACAGCCAATGCTTCCACACACAGTGGCCTCTGGGTTTCAGGCAGAAGCAGCTTCACTTCACAGGACCCCAGTCAAGAAATTCGATAATCACACTTGCCCTGCTGTCCCGGCATCATGGGCACAGCCACAGGTGGCTATTTAAGTTAGAATTCACTGAAATTAAAACTGCAGTTCCTCAGTTGACACTAGCCACATTGCAAGCACACAATACCCACCCGTAGCTAGTGGCTGCATATTGGATGGCACAAATACAGGACATTTCCATTACCACAGAAAGTTCTAGCAACAGCACTACCAGCCAGAGACTGTGGTCCAGTCCCCAGAATTTTTTTCTTCTGTGACGTCTGTTGACAAGTGATGGATATTTGGCCTGACATGACAGCTCCGCTCTCCTGCGTCAATGCCATGTGTCTGTCAATATCCTTCACGGTGTGCTCGCTTTTTCTTCCAAGGAGGAAGTTGGCCGGATATGGAAGATGGAGCTGCTCAAAGAGTCGGATGGGCTGGGAATTCAGGTTAGTGGAGGCCGAGGATCAAAGCGCTCACCTCACACTATCGTTGTCACTCAAGTGAAGGAAGGAGGTGCCGCTCACAGGTGACTAGATCCTCTCCCCGTCTCTCTGCCTCCCACCCCCTTCCCTCGGGTGCTAGTCCTCTTCCACTTGGCCAAAGCCCTGTAATTACAGGTCGTGCAGATTGTGCTGGAGCACACAAGGCAATCAGGCACGAGCAGTTCTAATTAAACACACCTCTGAGCACAGGAAGTGGGTAGTGGCGGGAGATGCAGCAGAATCTTCCAAACCATGAAGGAGAGGTTGGATTTCTTTCTAGTCCAGTGTTAGTTTCAAGCAAATGTTACTTATCCTAACCTTTGGGATGCTGGTACTATGGGAATATGTGGTTACTTACCCAGAATATGCCACTCAACACCACATTCCTGACATCTTACCATCCGTGAGATTAAGACTAATGACTTGGGAAAGTGATTGGTTTCAAATGTGACCACAGTGCATGTGCTGGGGCTTCACTTGTCAGGTCTATCAGGACTACACACACACTTATGTACATGTGTGTCTGTCATGCAGATGTGGAAGGGAAAAAAAGTAAATGTGAATTTTTCTCCTTGTGACATGAAAACAATTCATACTTCAAAACTTTTAAAATTTGAAGTGGAAAGAGAGACAGTGTTTGGCTAAAACATGTGCATAAAAGAAGTTCATTTTGCCTCTGAAGGATATAGCTGTCCCAAAATGTCAGGCGTGGTCGTGCTGTGCTAGCTAATCACTTCCACATACATGGGGCATCTACTGTTTGCAAGGCACGGTGTGTGTGTACATGTGTTGCATGCCTGCACATATACAGTAACTGTATAAAGGGAGAGTTTTACTGACGAAGGAGGTGATTGTCTTTTATATAGTCTGGAATTTGGTGTTCAGTCCAGGTATCCTGATTTCAAGGGGGATATGGCAAACCAGAGCAGTATTGGCCTGCCCAAGATTGAGGGGGGGCTCCACAGTATATCTGATGTGGTATAGTTGAAGGAGCTGGAGGTATTTTGTCTGAAGAATAGAAAACTAAGAAGAGGACCAGGGCGCAAACTAGCAAAGTGTTTCATGCTTACCAGCTCTCTTATTAGAGAGTAGAACTAAAGTAGAGATAAGATTAACTGCAAGTGTCAGTTATGTGGGTGGCAGTAATTATTGAAGGATAAAGACCTTAGATGGTTTTACCCAGAAGAGCATTATTAAACTTCCCACATGATGTATGCTTTAAGGAACTCCCATCAGGTAGCCATTTTCCCATGAATTCTAGGTCTTTGGTTCTAGTCTGTCTTTGACAAGTTGGCAATGAGGAAATTCCTGTGCCCAGAGATAAGCTTATCTAGAACTGTTCCTGTCTGTTTCCCATCTGAGCCATTTCTAGTGACTCTCCCATTTTCTTTTCATTCTTAGCCTGGAGTTGCGTGTGTCTCTCCGCCTCTGGGGTGTATGACTCACAAGTGGGGCATTCTAGTTAATAATGGGATCGAAAGAAATGGAATGAAGGAGGAAAACAGGAAAAGGGATGGGGATGGTCTTGATGGTGTCATGGATAAGTACGCCCAGGGACACTGGCCGGAACTACTGAATTCTTTATTCTGAATCCCTCTCCTCTCATAAGAAACATCTCCTGAGTGGCCCATTCTCTTGAGATTCCGGTTTGTTTCTTTGTGGCTTTCCCCATTCCCTTTCTCTTGCCATTCCAAGCAATTAGTGGGGCTCTTAGCATTTCTCTGCTTCACAGGTTTTTGAAGGACAGAAAACAGAGGCTGTCAGAAGTCTCTGGAGCCTCCTGTCTTCTGTTAAAACCTAAATTCATGAAAAAGATTATGATGCATGCCCTAGAGGAAGGAAACAGGGAGCGAGGGACAGAGAAGCAGGAGGAGAGAGACAGGGATGGAAGGAGAGAAGTTGGCTGATTCATATAAGAAAGCAATGGGGAGAGAGTCTGCAGATTGGAGAGAAACAGAGTTGGGTGAATCTGGGAGATTGGAGACATGCATGGGTTCCACAGCAGCACCTGGGTGTCGATGTGAGGACCCTAGAGGGGATGGTGGAACGAGGCTCAGGGTCTCTCGGCCTCACCAGATTTCCTGTCCCTTATTTAGCAGTCACTGGCTCCTTTGGGATCGTGGGAGACCAGACCACTGGAGGCTCAGCTGGCACGTACAGGACTGCTCACCCCCCGTGATGGAAGGGCCTGCCCATGCTCTGGCACAGTGTGCCTGCCAGGCCTGACTCACCCTGGGGGAGGCAGTCCCAGTGACAGTGCAGTCTTGCCAGCCCAGTGGGATGGAAGCTTAGAGTGAGCCATAATTTAATTTAAAGGAAATAAACAGAAAACATTTGTACACCCACGTTTGTCACCCAGCTCTGATACCTGCAACAACAGCCAATTATGTAGTTTATTCTTTTTGTTATTATTTTTTATCCTTCTACTTATGAAGCTTGGCTGTAAGGGTCCAAGGATGAAAAGGGCACTGAAAGACTTTATCCTCAAGTCCTGTAACTGTTGGGAGGGGACAGACACACGCAGTGTAGTATCAGTCAGAGGAGCCCAGAGGAAATGTGGCCGAGGTCATGTCACCTGGAAAGAGAGGGGAGCAGTGGAAAAAGGAAAGGATTCCTGGAGGGCCGAGGCTACGTTTGCTCTTCTGGGGCTTAGCTCAGTCATCGGGGAAGGATAGCAGGTAGGATTAAGAGAACAATAACTTAACTCACCTACAAGCTGGGGTCTCGGTTCTCTATCACCGTCTCCACCTGGATGGAGGTTTCGTTGACATTGAGGCCGGATATGGTGGTAACTTAAGAACGTGTTTATTACTAAGAAACCACCTGAAATTGCGGAGCTTTTCAGTGCTCTGGTGGGAATCTGCACACAAAGGATAAAGCAGTCCCACCCCAAACTGTCTGTGGCCGTCACTACTTCCTCTTCACCCCAATTCTAACTGTCCCTTCTCTCATGACCCTCCCTAGCTCCAGGAAAATGTCCCTTCTCAGGCCCCAAATGTCTTGACAAGGGATTTTTTTTCCCATCTCCATTTCCTCAGGGATGGCAGACTGTCCTTAGGAGATGAGCTGCTGGTAGTCAATGGTCACTTACTGGTTGGGCTGTCCCACGAGGAAGCTGTGGCCATTCTTCGCTCGGCCACTGGAATGGTTCAGCTGGTGGTGGCCAGCAAGGTAGGTAGTTCTTGTTTGTTTTTTAATATTTTTAAATAGTGGTGGTGACTTTGGATGCAAGCCCTCTCCATGCACGGAGGCTTTTAGTTCAAGTGCATTGAATTCTTTTGCCTTCCCTTAGGAGGATGGAAAAGAAATTATAGACCTAAGGAAAAGGTGAGAAAGGCAGGGTGGAAGGAAGGACAGTGTGGAGAGTGACAACTGTGCCTGGGGAAACCGAAGAGGGGCTGTGGAAGGCTGGCAGCAGCAGCAGAGAGGAAGGCTCAGGGCCACACGGAGTGGTGGAGCTGGAGGAAGCCTGTTTGTCCAGAAGCCGTGATGCTGTCAGTGGTACCAGGACCTGCACTCTCGACACACAGCCCGGTGTTGGTCCCCGCCTTGTCGCCGCCGCCTCTTCTCCTGGGTTCTCTCTTCATCCCCACCCCGAGTATGTCAATACAGTGCGATGTTCTGGCCCCCAGCATCTGCCTTGTCCCCCAAGTGTCGCCAGCCTTAGAGCCCCAGGGAAAGGCTGCAGGACTCCACCGCTGTGAGGAGAGGGGGCAGGGGCCTGCCTGGTTTCTGAGCCACCATTGGGTTGTGCCGTGGATGAGACTAGGGGACACAGCGTGTGACCGAGGAGCTGGGGAAGCAGAGCTGTGGGCTTCGCCCCAGGCCTGCCAGGGAAGAGCTGGGGCAAGGCTCCGTCTTTGCCTTCGTGGCACTGCACCCTCGCCAGGAGGGGAGTTCTTTTTCCATTATCCCTGTTACTATTTTGAACCCGGCATCTGCAGGTTTTTTATGTATTTTCTCTCTTGGACTGCAAGACTATTACCAATTTTTGGAGTATTTAACAAACAAATTTAAAAAATATTTTGAGCCATCTGAAAAATCTGCTTTCCTCCCTTTACACCTTTTACCCCAAACCCTTGACCTAGACTCACAGGCTTCTGAAAGGAATACGCAGAGCCTTGCTTGGTGGGAAGAGTCAGTGCCTGAATCCCTGGAGGCAGGAGTTGAGACCATTCTCCACTCATAGGCCCTTTCCTCCCTCCCAGAGATGCCTTGGGACACCTGGGGTCTTCTCTTGAGTCCCTTGAGCTCCATACATGTCCTTACCCAGAGTGGCTGCCTGGGGGCTCTGCATCCCCTCACTAGAGATGGGGATGGAGGGTGAACTCAGGGATTGTCTATCAGTCTGGGAATTCCACAAGGGAAGGAGAAATCAGTTCCTCATTTGCCAGGTGTACGGGGCATTCGGAAGCATCGTCAGGTCTTACGTACACGCTCATGTGCACGCAGGGTCCTCTGTTTGCAGAGAAGCCCGTTCTGTTGGCGCGGCCCACCCCCCTCAGCCTGGGGCTGGGCAGCCAGTTCCTCATTTGCCAGGTGTACGGGGCATTCGGAAGCATCGTCAGGTCTTACGTACACGCTCATGTGCACGCAGGGTCCTGTGTTTGCAGAGAAGCCCGTTCTGTTGGCGCGGCCCACCCCCCTCAGCCTGGGGCTGGGCAGCTCGGGTTTCTGCGCAGGCATCATACCGTGCACCCCCAAACCTGCAGATGCTGCCTCCTTTCTGTGCTGCCTCCTCTCTCCTTCTAGTTTGGAGAACAGGGAAGGGGACAGCTTTCCTGTGTCAAGCCATTATCCACAAACAAACACAAACATAAAGAAAACATAAGATTAAAAAAAA